TCTATTCTTGACCATCTCAACTAGTTCGAATTTTCATTGTATGATATATTAAAATTCAGCTATATTTCATTAAGAATGGGAGAGAGACACATACCCACATAAGCGAAAAGGACACAGTACAAAGCTGCTACAATTGGCAATGGTATAGAAGCAACAAGAGCTCCAAACTTCCCTGCTCACAATGAATCACAAATATAATTCAAGTTCCTATATCTCATTTTTATAAAAGAAAGCGGCTCGATAGACATTATTTTCACTACGAAAAGAGCATTGACGATGGTTAATCAGAAGAATTAAGCATCAATAATCTAAAAAAAATTGAAGCTAATTTTAAGTATTCCACCTAGTACAGAGAAGAAAAACATGAATGCTGCTGATATTTGAACAACCCTTCTACTTCCAACTCGCGTTAAACCCAAAAGACCCGCATTTTCTCTGCAGCCAAACAGAATAGAATCAGATCAGATCATGGTATTAGCTATGAGAAACCCAATACAGTGATATGTTAAAAAGCTATAATTCAGTGTAGAAGTTCAGCTTTATTACACAGAAGCAGTTGAACCATTTCCTGTCCCAAATAATCCGTCCAACAAAACACCTACTCCCTGTAGAGAAAGAAGTCTCTTAACGTATTCCAGCAAATTATAACACAAGCTTAAGAAATAAAAACTAAAAAAGAAAATATATTAAGATTCAATTATCACCTCCCACCCAATACCACGGCTAAGCACAGAAGGTGGCACAGGAGTGGCACTTCCATACCTTGATGCTGCAATGAACGTACCAGTAGACTGCCAATAAAGAAATCAAACGAAATGTAACCTAAACAAAAATTAATACTCTGGTAACAAGTAGATCGAACTATAAAATATTGAGAATACACACAGGATCAAGGAGAGAGCATTGAAGTGAGAAAAACTAGGACAAGGAGAGATTTCCCAAAGTTCTAAACAGTTCCCAGGTTCTCATTGCTGGTATTGGAATATTCCAGATAGTTACACGAGGGGTAGGTCAAGTAGATCAAACTACGTTATTTTGCAGCATTCTTTAATTTTCTTATAGATCAGTAACAACTTAATTTATCCATCATACAGATAGGTAAAATAATGTGTGAAGCTTAATTTATCCATCATACAGATAGGTAAAATAATGTGTGAAGACGTGAATCAAAGATTAGAAAATATACAAGAGTTTAGGAATCAAACCTCAATAATGGAAACAAAACATGCAGCCATCATACTAAAAACATCACCAGCATTAAAACTAGGCTGCCCCCACTGTAATGGATAAGGAACCCTTATCCTGCATGTGGTGAAGTAGAATACAATTCAAGTTAATCCAAAGTTTAGTATATGCAATTGTATGAGTTCAGCTTACCATGGAGCAGCACTGATTAGCCCGGCACGGTCAGTTCTGCAACTAATTTGAGTGTTTGGAGGTCTCTTATCATATGCACCAGCTGCTGTCAAGACTTCTGCATATGCCCATACTATAATAACCGAAAGAAGGACAGCATGTCGATTTAATATCAATCTTTTGCATTTCAACACATGGGGAAGATACTGCAATGGAGTTAGTAAGTAACAAAGTTAGAAAAAGAAGATCCATTGAAGTAGGGATATGTATTTTGCAATAATAAATTAATAGATAAAAACTTTTTGAAGTGCAAACTACCAAACCTCAAAAGTCCTAAGTTATTAGTCATTCATGACTGAAAGAAAATAATAACCAATGTAAGTTCGGTTTACCTGAGATAAAATAATCAGTACAATTAATGCTGGTAGTCCAATTTCAACGCATCTTGCCAACTACAAGCATCAAACAATTTTTTTTCAAAAGAAAAGGTCATTTTGATGATGAATTCAATGCTTCTGAAGATTGCAATGTATTATTATCTCTACACCCCTAATTCGAATACAACGAGATCACAAAATGAAGGTTTAGGAATTCTTACTTGAGGAAAACCAAGTGCATAGAGTCCAAGTCCAGTGAGAACAACAAGAGGAACAGCAGAAAGAGGGCTAAGGAACCTAAATCAAAATATATATATATATACACACACATCAAAAATCATATATTGATCAAATAAAACACTTGATGAATGAATGTATAATTTGCAGTGTCCTACCGGGCAAAGATTCTCCAGAAACCAAAAAATCCAACTAACATTTGGAAGAAAGATGCTATGATCAGTGCTCCTTGTACTGCTCTCATGGTCTGTTTAAACCTCTGAAATTGTTCATTAAAAAAAAACCCACATAGTTTAACTCATCAGTGATCAAAATCTATCAAATCATCAAAGAAAAACAATGGGAATTTCAAAGAAAAATATCCTTTCTCAATTGTTTCTAGTGGACATTTAATCATTCACCTTGACAAACAAAATGAAGGTTTACATACGTATATAAATACGTATAATTATATGCATTTATGCATTAAACAAAGGTAATTGACAAACTGGGTTGAAGAACCTGATGAGGATCAAGAAAGACATTGAATCTGGTTGACAAAGCAATTGAAATGGAGGGAACGATGAAGGCATAAGAACCGCCTATTACAACCGGAAGCCTGGTTCCCAAACAAGTCTGCAAAAGTGTGTTTATGGCGGAGACGAAGAGGATGGTGTTAATAACCTGAGCTTTCTCCACCTATATCCACAAAAATCAAGGTTGAGAAGAAAACCCAGGAAAATGAGAAATTAATAAAGAAAAAAAAATTTGAATTGGAGTTCTTACATTTCCACCACCCATGAAAGGTACAAGTACGGAGGCTATGATTACAGTAGTACCCAGCATAACCAGGTAGTGCTGGAATCCCAGAAGCACAGCCTCAGCTGCATTGAAATTCAATAAGATATTTAGCAATTTACATGCCCAGATTTAAGTGTAGATTTCACTCGAACGCTCGCTCTGTAAAAGAAAAATTCATTATAGAGAAAAAGAAATACAGAGAAGAAAAGAGAGAAGGAGGAGGAGGAAGAAGAAGAAGGTGAAAGAGAGGGGAAAATGGAGAAGAAGTAAGCGTAGCATTGAATCACAAATGGTGGGTTTTACATGTTTGGGGATTTCATCTACCTTCATATATCTATATATATGTGTATAGATTCGTCAATACAGAGAGAAAGACATAAACATATACATTCATATACAAGTACAGAATATATATGTGCATTTTGTGAATGGGTAAGTGGAAAGAGAAGGAGAAGACCCCATGGAGGAGAGCTGGAGACGCAGAAGTCTACGCCTGGAAGCTGGTCTTTGACAGGGTGGGGAACAAAATCATCAACCTTGGCTACTGAAACCGCCATTTTCCGAAGCTTGATGATGGCGAGAGAGAGAGAGAGGGGAAAAAGGAAAAGGAAGGATTATAAATGAAGAAGAAAGGGAGGAGCAGGAGCAGGTTATGATGTGTAATGTGAGTCGAGAGTTGTTTTCCTTCGTCCTTCAGCTTTCCATCTCTGTCACGCCATTAGACTGACGTCACGCACCTCTTATATTCTCCTGAAACCTACCAAACATAACTGTCACCTTTTCACTTATGACATCATTTTTGTTTGTATATAATATTTAATTTATTAATATAATAATAAACTGTAGTGAGTTAATTAAATTTCTTTCCATTATTAAAACAATAATTTCTCTTAATTAAACTAATTACAACAAATTAATATTGAAATAAATTATTGGTCTAATAAATAATTATTATAATTTAAATAAAATATTATTGAGGAATATTGGTGTTTATTTATTTATTGTTGAATATAGGTGGTGGGGAAGAAGAAGCTTAGGTGAAAGGTTGCTTTTAGTTTACCATAAAATGGCTAATTTAACTACTAATAATTTTCAAGTGACTTTATTTCTTTCTTAAATTGTTACTATTTGGCTTCATAAAATAATTTATTAATGGAATGTGTCTTTTTTTTTTAGTATATTTACATAATTCATAAGATTATATATATATATGTTAATTATAACATAATATAAATAATAATTTGATTCAAATTAACATAATATAAATAAGTAATTACTAATGGTATATTAAAAATTGAATGATTTTTTTTTTGGTTTATAAAT